CCTCTAGTCCCCATTGAAATGCCATCACTCACACCTATAGTATTAAATCTGAAACCCACCATTCCCGCCTCTTCAACTCCCTGTTTCACTGCCTCCGATAGCCTCAATAAGTGCATATTACACGTGTTACCCTCGTACCAGACTGAGGATATCCCAACTTGGGGCTTGGACATGTCCTCTTCCGACAGGCCTACCCCGTGGAGGATCGCCTGTGAGCCACCCTGGGACTTTGGCTCGGTGATTCTTGAGCTGTACTTGTTGAGCTTGTAAGTGGCCGAGGTGGGTGGCGGAGAAGGATCAGCAGTAACCGAAGCTTGGACTTGAGCATTGACCCGGAGATACGATGGGTGGCTTGGAAGGCGGCCTCGGTTATGTGAGACATGACAAGGGCTGAGAGGTTGGATTAAGACGAGCGCGGTGGTCCGCGGTGTTAAGAGGGCGACCTGCATGATTGGTGGTGGCTGGCTAGCGGAAGGACGAGGAGGTAGAGCCGTAGTGGAAATGGGGTTTAGGCTACGCTAGGTGGAGGTGCCTTCTCCCATGGTGGAGTCAGTGTCATGGACGTCGTTGTCTTGTCGTTTCCTTACTTTGGATTTTGGCTCGTTCGGAGGGGCTGGAAGACAGTAGAAGTATGGTTTGCAAAGTTGCACCACACCAACAACAGGCACCAAAGGAAATTTGGGCTGAAATGCCTGTCTATATCTGGTGACCCAGACAGTATCTTCGGAAATTGGAATAGTAAACCCAAAGCAATAACGTGCCAACAAAGAGATGTTACAACAGTCATATCTCGACTATTAACGTAGTGACACGTTATATGATGTGTTTCAATTCTTCTAGAAGCAAAATATGTTGTGTTTCAGTTTATAAATTTCCTGCCTTTTTCGTTTTGGTGGAGATGGATTACTAGGTTGGAGTGTTCTCCTGTCAAAAGGGCTAAGAGAGCAGAAAGTGTGTTGTTGAGATTAGTAATTTCTGGCCATGTTTATGTATGATTTCAGCTGCAAGATGGATCCTAAGAGAGCATGTCTTCAGCAATAAATGTACAGGCGGCAAGCTGTTTACATATTGGCTCAGGCAAAGATAGAGTAGACCCCCATCCTGTACAAGTTGGTAACCAACAACTTTACTATAGGGATATTGAAAATCAACTCTACATGATTCATGATTCCTGAAGCTGTGAGCTCTTCCCTCCTGGTTTTGTTTACTTTTTCCAAGTTATTGCTCTAACTGATGTTATTAACGAGCTAATTCCATTATAATAAAAGTACTATTTAGTTCAAATAATATAATATTGAAAATTATCTAGGTATAAATTAATTAAATAGTAAAATTAATTAATTTTAATTTTATTTGAACAATTATAATTAAATGATTTAAATAAACTAATTAACTAAATTAATTAGAGAAAAACTAAATTGAATTTCAATAATACAAAGAGTTGAAATTCTAAAATATCCAATTTTACCATAACCAACTAATATAGAATTTAAATTAATATATATATATATAAGATCTTTATTGTTCATATGATAGTATGATTTCTTATTCTATTCAATACACATTATCAAATCATACCAAACATATTTTCACTTATTAACTTATTTTGTCTCTATATAAATTTAAATAAATAAAAATGTATTATATTACGTAAAATTTTTTAATTTAGGTAAAAAATTAAGTCAATTTATTATTAATGCTACATGAATCACGTTGATCGATCTTTGATTTTTGTTCAATTCATGGTATATATTACTAGAAGTTATTATAAAAAATCTCTTCTCAATTTCAATCATACTTTTCAATTAAGTTTTAATGGTAATTAATCATTAAAAAATACTAAAAACAATAATCTTTATATTTTATATGAAATTAATAACAAACTTTAAAAATATAAAAATAATGAAATTTTATATTAAATTAATCAAGTTAGATCGTAACCTTAAATGATTAAATTAGTTAATAATTAAAAAAAAAAAGAAAATCAAAAATTCTATAATAAACATAAGAGTATTTGATATCATAAAATAAAATTTAAGGATAAATAAAGTTAATTTAACAATATAAAATCTCAAGTGTTAATGTTAAATTTCTCTTAACCATCTCGCTTGGTCTCTCCCCAAAAATCCTAAGTCTGGTTTTTGAATAAGTATATATAGAGTTTGAAAAACTCTATTAAAAAAGAAAAAAAAAAAAAGACTGGAAAAAAACACGAAATTGCAATGCTAGACGCGCTTTTGGTGTTGACACTACGAAGTATGTGTCGACACCATACCCGCGTTGGGTTTACTTTCTTCAATGGTAAAACGGCAGATCTGATCCTCAAGCGTTTATACAATAAGCACTTTGATCTCATAACTTAAGATTCATTCATTTAGGTCCCAAAAAGGAACCTTTCTTCTGGCAATTCAGTCCCTAAACTTTCAAAAGATATTTGATTAATCCCAAAAGCTCCTACTATTAAGCATTCAAGTCATTTTCTATATAAAAAATGAAAATTATATAAAATTTATTGAAAATCGCATATTATTCTTGAAAATAATAAAAAATTCAAAACTAATATAATAGATTAAACCATATGAAATGTTTCTCATCAGCTATGTCTATTTCATAAATCATAAAATAACCATCTTGTAGTCAACACTGAAAAGTTATTGTCAAAACTAATTATACATTAAACCAACTATTGGAATTTTTAAACCTTTTGAAACTCATTCTCACAAACGCTTAAAAGTTCAGGAACTAGCTCTAAAGTTGGATGTATTATTGGGTTACCAAT